GGAGTAGTTTGAGCGAGTAAACTGTCTCCGTGTCTGGAATTCATCAAAATATTTCAACAAAAAGTGAAATAAATAGATGAAGCAAATGTGACGATGTAATCACAATAAGTTAATATGTGAAAACTTTCATTACAAGCATATAATAATAATAACAATAATAATCATGGACTAATAATAGTAATGATAATAATAATAGTAATAATAACAATAATAATAGACTCTAGCGAGACAAGTGGAAGGGATGGCATCACTTACTGAGAAGAAGTCCTCAGGGAGGTCTGATCCCCATTAATGCAGCTACCCAGTCTTCACCAGCCTTGGGCAGACAGAGCCAGGGTCAGGAAGTGATTTTTGGTTTCCTGTCGTCCTCCCTAAGTCTGCCAGGTGCTGTGGCTGGGTTGGGGGAGGCTTCTGCCCCTTCTCAATGTGAGACACTATCTGACAGACCCAACCCTACTGGGGACCGTGGGCTGCTTAGCACAGCCAACCAGCATGGGGGGCTTATGAATATGCAAATTGGAGCCCCCGAGCTGGTTGGCTGACCCCTGCCATTTCCCACCCCCGTTGCAAATTGGGTTCTCTGAAAGCCAGCTCAGAGGGTTTCTTGAAATGCCATCTTTCCTATCCTTGCTAAGAATTTACACAGCCCTTTGAAGAATTTGGAGCGTGGACTGCTCGGCTTCCCCACGGCTCTCGTCTCAACTCCTGACCTCTGCCTCCAAGTTCCATGGTGAGACACCTCCAAAGCGATCATCTTTCTTCAGACCCCTCCAACAACATCAGGAGTCTGAATTCTACCTAGCATCAAAATTTCGCACCTCAGATCTCAGGGAGAGCAGGCTGTGAGGCCTGCCCCGGCCTCCGTAGAAGCTGGAACACGGTTAGGGAGGCTGGTTGCTGACAGGGAAGCCCATTTTTTTGATAGAGTTGAGGAGAACCCGCTTATACCCAAATCTATTCACCCAGAATTTTATATTTTTCTCCACTTCAACCCGGGAAGTGAAATCAACGTTGTAAAATGAAAATCAATGCACCAAACTGGAGAGATGGCTCCGCAGTTAAGAGCATTTGCTGCTCTTCCAGAAGTCCCAGGCTCCATCCCTAAACAAAAAATTTAAAATCTTAAAAAAGAAAGAAAACCGATACAGGATAGCTCATCTTATCAATGTGAATTAATCCTCAAAACATAATGTGGAGAGAGGAAAAAGTCAGTCACAGAGAGATACAAGGACTGTGATTCCATTTCTATTAAGTTCAAAAACAGCTTCCTCAAAGGGTCTGGATTTTCGCGATAGAGAAATCTATTCATTATTGTAAAGTATAGCTGTATATACCAGTAGATGAAATCTGGGTGTCATTGATAGTACACAGCGACCCTCTATGGCTTTAGTCCATATTTTAAAGGAATTCAGAGATGGAAGGGCAGGCTGTATAGTCCCATCCAGTAATATTCATACACACACACACACACACACACACACACACACACACACACACACGTAAAGATGTGAAAGCATTGTTTGGACCACATACACAAATACTAGAGGATTTGAGGTGAAGAGAAAGAAGTTTGTGTGTGTTAGTCAAGGTGACCTGACCATTGAGTAGTGTTCCATTCATGGAACTAGTTAGTCCTTTCTAAAAACCACAAAATTGTTATGTAATTTGAAAGTGTGCATTTTTCCTAATTTAAGAATGAACTAGGTCATGTGTACGCAGAGGCATATTGAGGCTATAATGGAAAGTTGGACCCAGAACCCTGAACCTTGCTGCCATTTGCTTTTTTGTTTGTTTGTTTGTTTGTTTTTGTATTTTTCGAGACAGGGTTTCTTTGTGTAGTTTTGGTGCCTGTCCTGGATCTTGCTCTGTAGGCCAGGCTGGCCTCGAACTCACAGAGATCCGCCTGCTCTTCCTCCCGAGTGCTGGGACTAAAGGCGTGCCCCACCACTGCCCGGCACCACTTGCTTTTATGAGCATATGTCCCTACAGGCCAGTGGTTCTCAACCTGTAATCCTTTGGAGATCGAACAACTCTCTGAGGGGTGGCCTAAGACAATCAGAAAACACAGATATTGACATTATGATCCATAACAGTAGCAAAAGTTCTAGTTATAAAGAAGCAACAGAAATAATTTTATGGTTGGGGGTCACCACAACCTGAGGAACTGTATTAAAGGGTCGCAGCATTAGGAAGGGTGAGAACCACTGGTCTAGGAAGAGCTGTGTTTAGAGAGGCTCCAAACCAGAAGAACGTACTAGCATATAGGATCCTACCTTGCAGACCACGGAAGACATTTCAACCTTTATTCTCTGGCAAGGGCTTTGCATTCGATCATGTACAAATGTATTCGTATGTATTAAAAATATTTTTTGGCAGTACTGGGGATTAAAGCTAAGGTATTATGCGAGCTAGGCTTTAGTTAACAGTCTACACTAAGCTATATTCCCAGTCTACTCTCCTTTTTGAGAAAGGATCCTGTTACGCCTAGGCTGGCCTTGAATTCATGACCCTCCTACCTCGACCTTCTTAATTCTTGGATTACAAGCATGTGTGAACATGCCCAGCCTAAGACTGTAAAAATCAAGGATGAATTTGGGTGATCACTAAAATTCCAGGATATATGCTTGCCCCACCATACCTAAGCTTGAGCTTCTAAAACTTAGAGAAGGATCTCAAAAATTAATCATAAAAGCCATGAAAAACTTATGTAACCATGGGTGGGGAGGCCGGGGTGTAGCTCCGTGACAGAGTGCTTACTTAGCATGCTTGAAGCACTAGCTTCAACTCTTAGCACAAAACCAAAAAGTACTGAGCAACTGTCTAAGAAATGTTAGCAGCAGCCTTGGCAGCTAGAGATTGATCTAACTCCCGGCTGTTGGTCTTATAGTCCTCAGTAGTGTCCTGAGGACTTCTGTATTTAGTCATTTCTCAATTACTGATTGGCTAGCCACTCACTGTGCTGTGAGCAGACGATTCAGAAAGAGAGAATGGTCTCTGTTTCCCCTTGCTTAGTCAAGAGTGGTGACAGGATTATCGGTATTTTTTTTAAACTTTATTATTTTTAATGATGGGTGTCTGTTCTGGGGGACTATGCAGGTGTCCATGGAACCAGAGGGGTTGGATCCCCTGGAATTAGAGACAAAGGTGGTGGTGACCCACCTGATGTGGGTGCCAGGAACAGAACTCTGGTCCTCTGGAAGAGCAATGAATACTCTTAACCACAGAGCCATCTCTCTGGCCCCAAGACAGACAGTTTTAAATAATTCATTATGGTATAACGCACTGTAGTGATAGACACACTACTTTGGAACTATAAAGTACCTGCTCACTCTACCAGAGGAGAATAGGAAAAGAGTCAGGAAGAGACTTAAGGGGAATTAAAAGTCCCCAGATAAAAAGGAAGGAACAGCCCACACAAAGATGTGGAGTGAAATAGTGCCCTGGGGTGACGGCCAGCAGTGAATTATGACTAATGCTCAGCATCTGTGAAAATGAGGATAGAGATCAGAACCCAGAAGCCAGATTATCAGCTGCTTGGGTTAGCTGAGGAGTTTGGGCTTTATAGATAGGCAGAAGCTACTGAAGACTTTAAGCAGGGGAGTGGCAGGATTAACTTCGTACTTTAGAAAGATCTTTGATAGAGGTGTGAAGGCAGGGTGGAGAAAGTGAAAGTGGAAACTTCGAAACTAACCCGATGAAGGACATTCCAGACCCAATTATGAGCAGCAGCTGGGTACGGATGATTTCTCTATTTCTATGGAGGGATTCTGTCCAATGCTCCAAGATCCCAGTGGCAGTGTTTCCGGGGTTCAGCAAGTGAAGGCTATGTGAAGGTTTGGTGAATTAGGCAAAATAACTCAAGTAAAACAAGCACACATCAACGGGCACTGGGTGGTTCGTTCGTTTGTTCATACATTAGTCTGTTATTTATTCAGCTGAAGCTCATGGAATACCTCTCCTGTTAGGAAGTCAGGCTTACAGGTCTAGGGATTTAAGAGCAAGCAAATAAGGATTGGGAAGGGATGTGATATGCTTTCGTTGTAAGGCAATGGACAGAATGGTATACCCAAAGCTGAGGAGTGGGAAGCCTACAAATATTTATTTTATATAACTTATGCCAGTAGGATACAGCACTGGACAAAACAATATAACCCCCATAAGATTAGCATGTTACATTCCCAGAATTGGGTAACAATCGGCTTCCAGAATGCACAGGATGGGTGGAGAACAGTTAGCTTGGCTGCAGTTTGCTTAGGGACCGGAAAGAATCAGGAGATGAAGCACAGTGAGGCTAGTTGGTGAAGTCTTTCAGGTCCTAAAACAGTGGTTCTCACCCTTCCTAGTGCTGCACCCTTGGATACAGTTCCTCATGCTGTGGTGACCCCAACCATAAAATTATTTCTGTTGCTACTTCATAACTGTAATTTTGCTACTGTTATGAATCGTAATGTAAATATCTGATATACAGGATATCTGAGGCCCCACCCCCCAGAGTCGCGACCCATGGGTTGAGAACCAGTGTTCTAAAAAGACAAATAAGAGAGCCCTTTACAGTTTCTTTGGAACTCTAGTCTGTTTGGGGGACCAAGGAGACGGGGCAATAAAGCGCATGCATATGCTTGAGGAGCTCCAGGCTCAGAGAGGCAGTGTCACCTGCCCAAGTCCGCCTAAGTCTAACATCATGATGGCTGAGATCCGAGTTCAAAGCCTGTGTCCTCTAGCAGGTCTCTTCCTAGAGTGCGGAGGCAGATCGGCCTGGGGCAGCGAAGGGCGCCAAACAGAACTAGCTCTGAGGAAACGCAGGGAAGCCTTGAACTCGGGGGCGCCCCAGTGGCCCGGTGGCTGTCCTCGAAGAATACTAATCTAAGTTGGCGGGCGCCTGACAGCACCACGGATCCCCAGCACCCCGACAGCTAATGCTAGGGGCCCGGCTCCACCTCCACCTGCTAGTGGTTCCCTCCGAACCCCCCTCGCAGGAGGGCGGGTGCTGCGGCCTGCCTCACTTCCGGTTGTTGCCGGGCCCTATATCCGGTGTCCGCCCGCCCTCCATCCCGCTCCCTCCGCGATGCTCTCCCGGTCTCGCTGCGTGTCCCGGGCGTTTAGCCGCTCGCTTTCTGCCTTCCAGAAGGTACCGTCTGGCGGGGCCGGGGCTCGGGCGGGTGCGGAGGCTGGCTGTGGGCGGACGGGCGGGCGGGCTGAAGGCCAGGGGCGCTGTGCCGTGACCAGTCCGGGCACCAAGGGCACCGGGACGCGGAGGCAGCCGACGCCCTCGGAGCCGCCCCGCCGCGTGTGCGGAGTCCTGCAGCCCTTGGCTTCTCCCCGGCAGCCTGCGCCGGCCGTTTCCTGCTGTCCCGGACCCTCTGCTCCGGGGCTGGGAGCCGCGCCCGCCGCGACATGGACTCCGTCGGAGGGGAGGCACGGCCCCCAACCGGATTCCGCGGCCTGTCTGCCTCGTTCTCCCCCCAAACCAGCGCGTGTCAGTCGCGTGGGGAGGTTGACACAGTCTGGCCGACTCGGTGTTTTGCATTTACCTTTCGGAGTTACGGGGTTCACCTGTCAGCAGCACGTTAAACGTGCACTTGAAAAAAAAAAATGTGTGTCTTCCCTCTTTTTCATTTTGGGTGACGTCGATAATGTCTTCTTTCTCAACAGGGGAACTGCCCTCTAGGGAGACGTTCCCTGCCTGGTAAGTTCTGCCCTTGTGGTCACCTAAAATGCTCTTCTCGTGGGCAGAGCAGCATGTCAGGAAATGTGATGTTTCTTCTCATGCTATTTAAAGACAGCGAATTTGGATAGATGCGAAGCAAAATGCTCCTTAAGTATAGCGGCTGTCATTTCTTCACTCGGTACATAATTACTAGGTTTTGTTCTGCTTTTTGTGGCCCTGGGGATGGAACCTAGGGCACGGGGGGCAAGGACTTTACCACTGAGCTACACCACCGGCCCTTGGTTATTGCATTTACACTGTCAGGCACTGAGCTGGGTACTCATTAGAGATACAGCGATTAAAAAGTCTTGTCCTCCTGGAGCTTGAGGCTGAAGTTAGAAAAGCAAAGTGTAAACCGCTAACCAAGTGATCAGATTGTGTAAGTGCTTGGAAACAGGAGAGTGGACAGAACAGATTTCATTAGGTAGGTGACATTAAAGCTGTGACTTGGATGTGACAGAGCTATGGAAGTGACAAGCAGGAGAGAGAGAAAGGATAGCATGCGTGAAGTCCGTGAAGAGGAAACAGGTGTGGTATTCTTTTGAAACTGGAAACAAAGTGTCTTGCCAGAAGATTTTAGTCAAAGGAAACAGTATCCTAAGGGGAATAAATGATGGTATAGAGGCTGTTGGAAGTTTAGACCCCCTCAAATTTATTTTTTTGTGTGTTTATTCTTTATGTGTGTGTGTTTGTGCATGCTTGTCCTTATGTGCCCACAGAGACCCCAAGAGGTGTCTGATCCCCTGTAATTGGAGTTACAGGTGGTTGTGAAATGCCTGATTTGGGTACTGGGAACCGAACCTGGGTTCTCTGCAAAGGCAGTACAGGTTCTTAACCTCTAAGCCATCTCTCTAGCCCCAGAAGTTTTGATTTCCATTCTCAACAGTTGTGTGTGGGGTTTTGTTGTGGTTGGTTTTGTTGTTGTTTTGGTAGAGGGAGAGAGAAAGTTAGTAACAATCAATCTTATGTAGCTTACATTTAATCATATGCCTGGCAAACATTTATTTCCTCTTTTTTATTTTTATTTTTTGAGCAAGGTCTTGCTGTCTAGCACTGGCTGGCTTAGAGCTCACTATGTATACCAGGCTGGCCTTGAACTTCCTCTTGGCCTCTGGCTCTGAGAGCTGGGATTACAGTCTTGTGCTACCACATCTGGGTCTGACAAAATATTTGTTGAAAGATTCCATCTTACTGTAGGCTTTCTTGTGCCAAGCATTGTTGTGAACGCTTTCTGTTCATCTTTGGGTCAATAACTAAACGAGATTTGGTATCTGTATTTTACAAAAGCATATTCCAGGACAAGACAAGGGGTTAGATTTCTAGGCCAAGGTCACTCAGCCAAAACTGTTGGTTAAATCAGCCTCTTCCCCCCCCCCCCCCCGGCCCAAACTGCTTTACTGAATGAATAAGTGTTCTTATTTACTTGGGTACTCTGTAACAGAGAAGATCTGTCTGTCTGAATGACAGAATCTCATGTAGCCCAGTCTCAACTAAACTAGATAAGTAGTCCAAGGATGACCTTTAACCTCCCAAGTGCTAGGATCACAGGACTGCTCCACCATGCCTGATTTTATGCAGTGCTGGGGGTCAGACCCAAGGCTTTGTGCATGCTGGGCAAAAAAAAACCCTTACCAGTCTGAGCTATGCCTCAGTCTTGTCAACAGACTAGAGTGCTTACTATGGCAGCTGCTTTGCTAGGCGGTAGGGATACAGATGGTCTCTATCTGCAAGAATCTCACAGGCTAGCTGGATAGACGGAGCAAATACACTTTTATATACACGTTAGGACAAAATAACATTGTGGTTACTAAGAAGTACAGGATGTGAAAGCCCAGCTTGGGAAGTCAGAAGAGGGGAATGTTGGCGAAGGCCTCCCCAGAGAAGTGACATTTTAGATGGGACTTAAAGAATGCATGGGTTAGCTTGGGAAATGATAGTCCAGGTAGGAAATGACTTGTGGTTTCCAGGCAGGAAGAGATTTGACCAGGTATAGAAATGGTAAGCTGGAAATACAGAGCAGGGCAGGAGGACTGTAAGGTGTTTGGACTTTAAGCCCATGTCAGGAGGACATAAGGCACTCAGCACAGTTCATAGTGCATTCTCAACAATAACCTTTCTTTGCAGCTGGGAATGCTGAAAGACAGCACAAGTATTTTCTCCACTTTTTAAGCTGTCTGGAAAAGGAAAGGCCTTGCACTTAGGGGTTTGCATCTTGACTCAGGCATTCTGGTTAGGCTAGTCAACCTAGCTGTATATAAAATAAGAATAATGGCAGGTGACCATTCCACTTTAGGGTGTTGCTATGAGTGGACAATGAAGAGGCCATTGTGTGAAATTTCTGTATAAGCCTAATGCACTGTACAAATGAAACTTGTTATGGGGTAAACTTTGTGTTGGACTCCAGTTTCCGAACATCTGTGTGGGCTGCTCTGTTCTAGTTCCAAGACAGGCTCTGCTTAGAATGTGCACGGCAATCATTGGCTGCTGAATATAAAGATGACTGACTGACCAGACTCTGGGAATGTTTGTGAGGGAGTGTGCATAAGGACCAGCTGTCTCTCGGTCAGTATCTTCTTCACCCACAGTGTAGACAGGGCTGTAATCGACACAAATAACAGCAAAGAAAACATGAGAAGTAATATTCAGAAGAAGCAGCTGTGGTTAGTAGATATTGGGGAAATGAATTTATGATAAGGACAGTTGGTTTGGTGGATAGAGTCTCTCTGTCTCTCTGTCTCTGTCTGTCTGTCTGTCTGTCTGTCTGTCTGTCTCTCTCTCTCTCTCTCTTTCTCTCTAACTCTAGGATCATTGTGTTAGAATTTGAGAGAAAAACAGCAGATTAGGTAAGCTGTGGATCTGGCAGCTGCCACGAGGAGATAAGCAGGCCTTTTGAATTAGGGTCCAGGAAAGCAGACGTGTTCAGCAGTGGAAGTTGTGGGCAGGGAATCTTCACAGAGACAGTGGGAACCCAGAGTGTCAAGGAAAGCCTGCATGGGTATTTGGCCACTGTCCAGAAAAGAAAGGAGAAGTTGTTCTTTTTGAATTAGAACTCAAGACCCATCTTTTGTTAGAGGGACCAGGATGGAAGACTTAGGAGGGAGGAGGGCTGACGAGGAGAGAAATGATTTGCTCAGTAGACAAACTGAAGACCCTGGCCTAAAGCAGTCTAGTCTTTGCTGCTAGTTTCAGTCAGCAAACTTTGTAGCCTAATCACTAAAGCCCAGACCAGCTCCCCACCTCCTGTTAGGTCCTATGAAGTCACAGGCCAGCCATCGTGTGTCTTTTTTGTTTTTAACTTTATTTGTTGTGCATTGGTGTGAAGGAGTCAGATGCCCTGTTGTGAGCTGTCATGTGGGTGCTGGGTGGGTGCTGGGAATTGAACCCTGGTTCTTGGCCAGAGCTCTAAACCACTGAGCCACCTCTCCAGCCCCACCATTGTGTGTCTTATTTTTCAAGTTTCAATTGTATTTGATAACTCTGGGAAAAGAGACATTATGCATACATAAAGGCAGGTAGATTATACAACTTTTAGGGCTGTCCCATCAGATCTCTTTCCTCTCGAGATACATACACACTCTTAATCTCCCATACCTATTCTCTGCCAATAACGCAGGTAGACTATTTGAGAAGCATGATTCCATATGATAAAGATTATGTAATCTCCTGAAGTTGGTCCACTCTGTCTAGGGTCTATGGGATGAATAGTTCCATTTAATATACTATGTACAGTAAGAGCTGTTGATTAAGAGTTGTTTTGTTTCTTACAGGGGTCTCCTTATGTCAGGGACCATGTTACCCTTACAGCAAGAGGATGGTGTAAGTATCACTGGGTAATAGAGATATGTGCCATGGTTGATTTACTTAGACACGGATTCTAAATTTAAACACTGGATGTCTTCACAGACCTCCAGTCCTATAATTGAGGTCATTATGTTGAATCCCTAGACCCAACCTTGATGATAGTCGTGGTCATTTTTATTATAATCTACCTTTGTCATCATTCAGTGGTCAGGTGTTGGACCAAGAGTGTCCTGGACCTTCTTGGGTAGTTAACTTGGAACTGTCTTCTTTTTTTGTTTTGATGAGAGTAGCTATCAAAGAGAACGGAATATTCTAGTTGGATACAGTGAAGCTGAGGGGTCGGAGGTCACATAGTTGTAGAAATTGAGAGTATTCTCTTGGTTGCATAGTTACTCATTTTAAAAAGCAGTAAATGAAAAAGACCCGTTGAGCCCTAGGGCTTTTGACTGGTTTGGTAGGAATGTTGTTATTGCGTCATGGAGAGTTTGGAGAAGGGCCATCCACTTGTGGTCCAGATTAACTTGGACTTGTGAATGTTGTTTTGAATTATTCTGTATTCCAAGTTTTTTTAGAGTACTGAGAGGTTGCTTTCTAGTAACCTATTCAAGAACTGTGGAGCTGCCTTGTTTACAGGGTGAATGAAGAGTTGGCAGGAGAACTTTCTTACTATGCATCACAATAAGTTTGGCTTTCATTCCAAACATGGTTCATTAACGTGCTATTAGAAGTATAAAACTCCTGAAACTTTTGTTGTTTGTTTGTTTGTTTGAGACAGAGTTTCTCTGTGTAGCCTTGGTTATCTTGGAAATAGCTCTGTAGACCAGGCTGACCTCATACTCAGATCCTCCAAGTGCTGGGAATAAAGGAATTTGCCACCATGCCTGGCTGTGAAATTGCATTTCTAGGAATCTATACTTGAAGTATTTACATACTCAGATCCCTCTCAAAAATAAGAAATAGCCAGGAGTTATGCTATAGTATTTTAACATGCTCCCACTATGATAAGTAGGAAATAAAAGAGACAGACTATTCCATTTTCTGATGGGTTGTATAATTCCATTGTAGAGTTCTTTTTATTGTTTCTAGTATTCTGCAGTGAGCATGTAATGCTTTCATAATTTAAAAAAGTGACTGAGAGAGTCAAAACATATTACTTGAACAATTTAAATGAAAATTAGGGTAATCAGGAGTAATCATGATTTATGTAATAAATACAACACGTAATTATTTGAATGTTGATTGTGAAAAAAATCTAAACTTCCGGTTGAGTCACCCTTAATTATGTCACCCTAGTAATACCTTTGCATTGCTTTTTTTTGTCTTTTTTCTATGCATATCTTTTTGTTTTAAAGATTTTTTTTTTTTTTTTTTTTTTTTTTGGGTTTTTCGAGACAGGGTTTCTCTGTGTAACTTTGCGCCTTTCCTGGAACTCACTTGGTAGCCCAGGCTGGCCTCGAACTCACAGAGATCTGCCTGGCTCTGCCTCTGGAGTGCTGGGATTAAAGGCGTGCGCCACCGCCGCCGCCGGCTAAAGATCTTTTTTAAAAAATCTTCTTCTTAGCCGGGCGGTGGTGGCGCACGCCTTTAATCCCAGCACTCGGGAGGCAGAGCCAGGCGGATCTCTGTGAGTTCGAGGCCAGCCTGGTCTCCAAAGCGAGTACCAGGAAAGGCGCAAAGCTACACAGAGAAACCCTGTCTCGAAAAACCAAAAAAAAAAAAAAAAATCTTCTTCTTGTACTGACATGGGTGGTGGGGTGAAGGGAGCACACCGAGCACAGATGTGAAGGTCGAGAACACCTGAGGAAGTTAGTTCTCTCTTTCTACTATGTAGGTCCCAGGGGGACCAAACTCAGGTCATCAGGCTTGACAGAATCTTCTCCCCTGAGCAATCTCACCTGATTGAAAGATCATCTGATGTACAACGTTTTTACTTTTATTTAATAGGCAATTACATGTTTCAAAGGGCCAAAAAAAAATGCTATCAAGTATTTTGGTTTTTCTTTTCTTTTTTCTTTTTCTCTTTTTTTTTTTTTTTTTTTTTTTTTTTTTTGTTTTTTTTGAGACAGGATTTCTCTGTGTAGTTTTGGTGCCTGTCGTGGAGCTCACTCTGTAGACTAGGCTGATCTCCAACTCACAGAGATCCGCCTGGCTCTGCCTCCCTACGGCTGGGATTAATGGTGTGCGCCACTGCAGCCCGGCAAGTTATTTTTTATCCTTGTCCTCTAGCATATTGAACACCCCTTCCAAGAGGTAGCCAGTGAACCAGCTTCCTAGGTGTCTGCCAGAGCAGTAGTTCCTGCATGTCCATGTTAGCCGTTAGTTTTTGCCCATGAACAAGTGCTTTTGTTACATGGTTAGGTATGTGTAAAAACTTTATGCACAGCACTCTGTGTTCTGTACTTTACATTTTTTGTATTGTTCCCCTTGATACTATATATGTACCTCATAAAGTTATCCTGGCATAAAAGTAAAAAGGCCAGGGGCTGGAGAGATGGCTCAGCAGTTAAGATCACTGGCTGCTCTTCCAGAGGACCCAGGTTCAATTCCCAGCACCCACATGGCAGCTCACAACTGTCTGTTAACTTCAATTCCCTGAAGATCTGACATCTTCACACCAATGCACATAAAATAAAGTTAAATAAATTGAAAATGCCAAAAGGCAATTAAGTATTTTACTTATGTATTGTAAAGATACCTATTGAGGTGTAGTTGGTGTACACCTTTAATCCCAGCACTCCGGAGACAGAGGCAGGCAGATCTCTGTGAGTTTGAGGCCAGCCTGGTCGACAGTGAGTTCCAGGACAGCCAGGGCTACATAGTGAGACCCTGTCTTCAAAAAAACCAAAACTAAAACAAACAAACAAACAAAAGTACCTGTTGAGAATGTCCCCCTGAATCCTTGTGTAAAAAGCAAAAGTTTCCATCAGTTTAATTAATTCTTTCAAACTGTAGAAATAACTGTTGACTGACAGGTAGCCTTCGCAACCGTGTGTATCTATGTATCTTTCGCTCTTCAGAAGTAACTGTTAATGAGTGTGTACACAAGGTGACAGCACTTTCCAGCTTATGCTACCCCGGGTTTAAAAAGGCCTGCTCTGGAAGTTCTCGGCAGTGAGTCCAGGACGGGCAGATGTGCTGCCTCTTAGCAAAAGAGTGCTAAAGGAAATGATGTGTAGTCCCTCCCTCCCTACCTCCCTCTCTCCCTCCCTCCTTCCCTTTTTCCCTCCCTCCCTCCTCCCTTCTTTTTTGAGGTTATTTTTTGTGGGGACTTGGTGGTTGCCTAAAACTTTGCTTGTTTCTGAGTTTCCTATCGTCTTTCTACCCTATCTGATCTACATCTGAAACTCTAAGGATAGAAACACCTTTGGGGGCTGGAGAGATGGCTTAGAGGTTAAGAGCACTGAGCACCGACTGCTCTTCCAGAGGTCCTGAGTTCAATTCCCAGCACCCACATGGTGGCTCACAACCATCTGTAATGAGATCTGGCGCCCTCTTCTGTATACATAATAAATAAAGAAATCTTTAAAAAAAAAAAAAGAAACACCTTTGGATTTGGCATACCGGCATGTGCTGTTGAGGAAATGCCATGTATCTTAGATTTTGTTAAAGAAATCTAATCAAGAAGGTAAAGCATTTGGTTAGTTTGCAAAGGACCAAGGTTGTTTTTTTTTTTTTTTTTTCCTTAATAGAACTGTATGTCTCACTCTTTAGAGAAGTGACATTTCATTACAGTACAGGGCACTCTTTATGGCACCTAGGTCATCAGGCTTTGGGGTCCTACCTGCTGAGTCAGAATCTTTCCAGGTTTTGCCTGACATGCCTGCTTTGACAACTTCCCCTGCATAAGAATCTGGTCAAGATTCACCAGTTTAAAGAGGTGATCTGTGGTACCTGAACTAGACAAGATATTAGTGGTTCACATTCTAAATGAGTTAACATTTGTGGGTTTTTTTTTTTGTAGCATTAACAACAGTAATGTCTTCAGTGTTCGCTTTTTCCAAACCACGGCTGTGTGCAGTAAGTACCTGATTCCTCATGAATGGACTTTTACTGGCAAGAGCAATAACTGACTGAGTTTATTAAAGAAAATCATTAAAAAGGAAAAAGACACAAACCAGGCGGTGGTGACGCATGCCTTTAATCCCAGCACTCTGGAGGCAGAGCCAGGCGGATCTCTGTGAGTTCGAGGCCAGCCTGGTCTACAGAGCGAGATCCAGGACAGGCTCCAAAACTACACAGAGAACCCTGTCTCAAAAAAAAAAAAAAAAAAGGCGGGAGGGAGAGAAAATGGAGCACTTGTGATTTTCCTTTTTTGTTTATCTCCTAGAGAATGATGTGATTACAGTCCAAACCCCAGCGTTTGCAGAATCAGTTACAGAGGGAGATGTCAGGTGGGAGAAAGGTAAGAGTTCATTTCTTCTCATTTCAGTTCAGAACTTCCTCAGGTCCCTCTTGCCTGAAACACAGCCAGTGGGAGCTGTGGCTCCACCTTTCTTTACATCCATACCTACTTCCTGCCAGTCCTGAGGACAGTGGTCTTTTAACACATTAGGCTAAAGGGGGCTAGAGGCTCCTGGCTAAGAGGAGGTATCCTTTGATTGTCTTTCAGCTGTTGGAGATACAGTTGCAGAAGATGAAGTGGTTTGTGAGATTGAAACTGACAAGGTGGGCTTATCCTAAATCAGTGACATTTCCATGTTAGTCTAAGGAAAGAGATAGGGCTTATTGTTCAGAGATCAGTTCTAAGTAGCTCTAACCTCACTTAAAGTTCGTGAGAGAATCCTGGGAAGAAAGATTTATTAAAGCTTCGTGTGTTGTTCCGTATGGACTATGTAGATGAGTAACTTTGATAGCTTTTTGTTTTCTATGTGGTTCCTGAGCTGCTTTCCGTGTGTTTCCTAGTATCACTTGGAAACATGGTAACTAAAGTTTGTTTCAATGTTTCTAAGAAAGGCTAGAAGGGTGAATCCTGACAGTAGCGATGACTTGTCATTCCCTGACTCTGAAAATGTGGCCTTAGGCGTTTCTGTGTGCAGAGATGTAACATCCAGATGTAACGTGTTGCAACTCTCACGACTCATCCTGTTGATGGCACAGTTAACTAATGCAGATACAAATGTAGACTCGTCTCCATCTCTTCCTTTCAGACTTCCGTGCAGGTTCCGTCACCAGCACATGGCGTCATTGAAGCTCTTTTGGTACCTGATGGTGGCAAAGTTGAAGGAGGAACTCCACTTTTCACACTCAGGAAAACAGGTGGTAAAGAAGTTCTCCCGGTGGTCAAGGTCTCCAGTGTTTCCCGTGCGGTTGGGGCTGAGTCTGCTATGGTAGCAACTCCGTTAGGCCTCACACTGGCATTCTGTGCACTCTCAGTGAGAGATCAAAGAAATCCTGTTGCTGTATGGTGAACTTTGTCACGTTCTAGAACAACAAGGGGAATATAAAAAAAATAGCCCATATTTCTCAGATTGGACCTTTTTTTTTTTTTTTTTTTTGGTTTTTCGAGACAGGGTTTCTCTGTGTAGCTTTTCGCCTTTCCTGGATCTTGCTCTGTAGACCAGGCTGGCCTCGAACTCACAGAGATCCACCTGGCTCTGCCTCCCGAGTGCTGGGATTAAAGGCGTGCGCCACCACTGCCCGGCCAGATTGGACCTTTCTTAAAGAACTAACAAGTGAAGAGTCTAAAGATAGTGATTTCCCCACACTGACCTGAATCACATTGCGCTTTAAAAAATACAGATGAAAAGGCTTTGAGTCCCAGATATAATGGCTGGATTTTTTTTTTTTAATATTCCCCCAAATGATTCCAACGTACAGTGAGGCCTGAGAGCCACTGTTTAAAAGTGAGAATTACAGCCAGATGGTGGTGGTGCACGCCTTTAATCCCAGCACTTGGGAGGCAAAGGCAGGTGGGTCTCTGTGTTCGAGGCCAGCCTGTTCTATATCGTGAGTTCCAGTACAGTTAAGACTGTTACACAGAGAAACCCTGTCTCGAGAAACAAGACAAACAAAAAAGTGAGAATTACCATTTTATGGTGTCTATTGAAGACAATTCAGTGTAGTTTTCTTTTTCTTTTTTTAATTATCTTTTTGTTTTGTTTTGTTTTGTTTTGTTTTTTTGAGGCAGGGTTTCTCTGTGTAGCTTTGACTGTCCTAGAATTAGCTCTGTAGACCAGGCTGGCCTCGAATTTACAGAGATCCGCCTGTGTCTGCCTCCTGAGTGCTGGGATTAAAGGCACGCACGTGTGTGTGTGTGTGTGTGTGTGTGTGTGTGTGTGTGTGTGTGTGTGTGTGTGTTTGTATCTGTACATGCAGAGGCATTCGTGTGGAGGTCGGTTTTCCTGCCCTGTGGGTACAGGAATGAGCTCAGGGTGTCTGACGTGGTGGCAAGTGTCTTCACCCACCGAGTCATCCTGCTGCCTTCAGGAGTCTCTTTCCACATCTGACATCTTAGGAAAGATTGAAGTATGTCTTTGGAAGTAATGCCAAAGAGAGGTGTGTGTATATCTGTACTGGACCTTGTAATCAATATTGAAGATTAGAAAATCTGCTTTTCTGACGTTTAAATGTTTGTAGTTGTAGCATTTAACTGTTAAAATAGTCAAACAGAAAGATGATGGATTGGACCGTTGAGGTTGGTCAGGCCAAGATCAAGTTCAAAGTGAGGGAAAAAATCTAAAGTAGCTAGGAAGAGTGAATCTGTTGAAGTCCACCCCACCCCCTTTTCTTCTTTTTTTAATGCCCGCCTCTTTATGTATACTCGTGTGAGGACAGGTGTGTGTATGTGTGGCAGGGTCAGAAGTTCTTGGGTGTTGGTCCTTGCTTTCCAGCTTGTTGGAGACAAAGTCTCTTAGTTGTTCCCTGCTGCGTGGGCCAGGCCAGCTGGCTCGAGAGTTTCCAGGATTTCTCCTGTCTCTACCTACCATCCTTCTATGGGTGGATGGGGATGTAAATGTACCTGCTGTACCCAGCTTCGTGGTGGTTCTGGGGAACTGAACTCAGGTCCTCATGGTAACAGCGAGTGCTTACTCACTGAGCAAGCTCTCCAGTCTGAACTCTGTCATCATCATTTTTTATTATTATTATTATTATTATTATTTAGTGAGACAAGGTCTTGCTCTGTAGCCTTAACTGGCCCTTAACTCAATATGTAGACCAGGGTGCCCTCAGTTTCACAGAGATCTGCCTATCTTTGCCTCCCAAGTCCTGGGATTAAAGGTGTTTGCCACCAAACCCAGCTTTATCATTTATTTTTTACTTTTAAAATACATTTTTTCTAAGTTAACTATAAAACTGGATATAATGTCCATATTAAAGTTGTATATTTATTACTTGAGCATCTCATTGCTTCCTATTAAGAGTCATCCTGGATGAAGTGCTTTGATCTGTTTAATCTTTTATTGTGTGTGTGTGTGTGTGTGTGTGTGTGTGTGTGTGTGTGTGTGTAGATGGAGAGAGAGAATATGAATGAATGTACAACTGTAAGTGCAGTTGTACCCTCAGATACCCTCAGAGTCCAGGAATAGACATTGAATACCTTGGAGCTAGAGTTACAGGCAGTTGTGACCCGTCCCATGTGCATGTTGTGAACTGAATTCAGGTCCTCTGTAAGAGCAGTGTGTACTATGAACTCCTGAACCTTATCTCCAGGACCTAAATAAAATTTTTATCAAATGCTCATTTAAGATTAAAGAGTTCAGAGGCTGGAGGGATGGCTCAGTAGTTCAGAGTACAGACTGCTCTTAACAGAGGACCCAAGTTCACTTCCCAGTACCGACATAGAACTCACAGTTGTCTGCAACTGCAGTTCCATGGGTTCTAATGGGCCTCTCTGGCACCTGCACTTACATGCACATACCTTCATGCAGATCCACACATGTACACAGTTAGGTCTGCTGGCGGTGGCGCACGCCTTTAATCCCAGCACTCGAGAGGCAGAGGCAGGCGGATCTCTGTGAGTTCGAGGCCAGCCTGGTCTATACAGCAAGTTCCAGGAGAGCTAGAGCTGATATAGAGAAACTCTGTCTCGAAAAAACAAACAAGCAAACAAAAAGTCTTCAAATTTTTTTATTTTTAATGGCTGAGAGTATTCCTTCTGTATGTTATGTTAAAATAGAAGATGAATATATCAGCATTACTGTAATTAGAAGTATGTCACATTTATGTATCCATTTTAACATTTTCAGTGCCTAGGCTGGTTTTGCTTAAAACAGTGGTTCTCAACCTATCGGTTGTAACCCCTTTTTTTGGGGGGAGGGGGTGTATGACCCTTTCTTTCACAGGGGTCACCTAAAACCATCTGTATATCAGATGTTTACATTATGATTCATCAAAGTAACAAAATTACAGTTATGAAGTAGCAACAAAAATAATTGTATGGTTGGGGGGGTCACCACAACATAAGGAACTGTATTAAAGGGTCACAGTGTTAGGAAGGTTGAGAACCACTGCCCTAAAAGTTTCATTTCCTTGGGCTTAGTAGGTGCTTTGGATTTGTATTTACAGGATTTGAAATTTAGTAGATATTAACATTTGTGAAATCGGGAAGGCAGCTGAATTGAGCCAGTAGGACATTCAGGGAGTCCTGGGAATAGAGTCGGGGCTTCTGTTAGTGTGTATCTCTTGGTGCTTTGCCGGTGAAACACCTAACGGATTGGAAGTAGGCCTTTGTCTAAACCCTCCCTAGTGTCTGCAGTGCGGTTCCCTCCCTTCCAGACAGTACCAGTGACATCTCTTTTTTTATCCAGCTGCTCCTGCTAAGGCCAAGCCAGCAGAAGCTCCTGCTGCACCCCCAAAAGCAGAGCCAGAAGCACGGGCAGCCCCTCCTCCCCCTGTAGCAGCTGTCCCCACTCAGATGCCGCCAGTGCCCTCCCCCTCACAACTTCCTTCCAGCAAGCCAGGTAAGACCCGTGTTAGCGAATCATCTCATTGCGGTAACAACCACCTCATGAAGAGCAACTCAAGAAAGGTTGGGTTGGGCTTGTTTTGAGGATGAGTCCATCATGTCAGGGAAGAAGATACGGTGTCAGTGTGGGGCAGATGGTCACATAGTCTTTACAGCAAGAAAGATTAACGCTGCTGCTCCATTCACTTACCTACTATTTCTTTAAAAAAAAAAAAGCGTGTGTGTGTGTGTGTGTGTGTGTGTGTGTGTGTGTGTGTGTGTGTGTGTGTGTATTTCACTCCCAAGCCCCAGCCCGAGTTACAGTGCTACCCACATTCAGAGCGAGTCTTCCCATCTGAGAATGAGAACTTACAGTTTCTCTGGAACACCCTCATTGACACACCCAGGGTTTTACCTCCTGAGTGGTTCTAAGTCCTGCCAAATGAACAGTCAAGATGAATTCATCTTGAATCCGCATAGTCTGTCCTTGTAGGAGAGAGTGCCTCTTCTGGTACCGTCTTCCCTCACAGGTACAGTCCGAGGCTGTCCGTGGCTCTGAACACGCCCCGTCCATCGGCTGCTTTGTACAAAGCCCTCTAGATTTCTAAGAGCTGGGTGTGCCTCCCAGCTTTCCACCTAGTGACCATGTGACTTTAGTCTTGTTTCTTCTAGGAGCAGATTGCTCATCTGGGTTTGGAATGATGCTGATAACCTTAGGATCTTGAAGATGAAGTGAGACTCGGGTGTGAAAGTATTGTTTTCCATGTCTAAGTAGCTGTCTCTTCTCTTCATTTGCAGTTTCTGCAATAAAACCTGCCGCTGCCCCTCCACTGGTTGAGCTGGGAGCTGCTAAAGGTGTGCGTTCAGAACATCGGGTAAGCCTCTGGAGCCTTCTAGGAAAGTGGCAGAGGGTCAGTGTAGAGAGTGACGGTGTGATGCTCAGAGCTGATACCTCCTTCCATTGAGGGCCTTGAGGGTATAGAAAGTTCCTTTTCATGGTCTCAGAACTGTCAAGTGGTATGACTACAGCATGTCTTCTGAGCACTTGTCCAGTGGTGTTTCTACTATATTGTGCTATCTGAAATGGTTCAGATGAGTCAGATATCTGTGGAGAACAGAAGCTTCATAGCCCATCCTTTCCTTCCCACAGTGACATGTACTTCACACAGGTAGTCTGTTGAGGACTCTGTTCTTAAACTTCTGGGATATTTTGCTGTAGCTGGGGAGGTACTGGGGGACCAGATTGTTGCATTGTAACAGTAAGCTGTCAGAGCAGACATAAAAACCTCAAGGAAGTATGGTCAAAAGTGGGGGGGTTTTTGCCTGAGAATACTTCCTAAAAATACCATAGCCTCAATTTTTTTTTTTTTTTTTTGTTTCCGTTCCCCAAGTAACTATTCTCACGCAAGTCTTTATCAACAGAAGTTGCCCTTTCTGTGATGACTCTTAAGCTGGCTGGATCTACACCACAATCTTCCTTTTATAAATTGGTTTTGGTTTTTAAATCACACTATTTCCTGAGCCTCTGTTCTTGGTCAAATTTCAGGCACATCTGAGTAAATACCTTGGTCTCTGATTCTGTGGTCTTGATCTGAGGCCATTCAGGAAAAGGGAAGCCTGTAGCTTAAACAGTAATGATGGGGTCTAGCTTTGAGGCATGTGCCATTAATCCCAGTACTTGGGGGGCAGGTCTACTTCGAGAGTTCCCAGCTAGTCAAGGTTATGTAGTGAGACCCTATCTCAAAACAAACGAAACAAAAACCAAAACTGTGGCGCTTGCCACCCATCTCCGGCAGGCTGAGCTCTCTCCCTGCCTGGGGAGTGAGGGTGTAGTCAGACTGTCAACACTTGTTCCACTTTCCCTTGCAGGAAAAAATGAACAGGATGCGACAGCGCATTGCTCAGCGTCTGAAGGAGGCCCAGAATACATGTGCAATGCTGACTACTTTTAATGAGGTTGACATGAGGTGGGATCTCTAGTCCTTCTGTTCCCCGTGTCTCTGTTTCTTGTAGAATACTTGAACGCACCCAGTCCTTATCCACTGCTGATTCCATCGCCAGCTTGACTAGGGAGAGGTATTTCTTGGCTTTGCTCAGTGTTGACTTATGCAACGTGACCCACTGGTTTCGTTTGCTAATTTACCTTGCTGATACTGTGTCTGCTTTCTCTGCAACGTAAAAAGCTTCACCTTTTGAACTTTAATGCCTGAACTATTACGATTTCTGATAAATGAGCCTAAAGTAATTATTTTTTTTATTTAGGTTCTTGTATTTTTACTTATGTGTATGTATGTGTGGGTGGGGCCCACAGAGGCCAGAAGAGGGCATTGGATCCCTTAGAACTGGAATTACAGGTGGTTGGGAGCCCCTTGACATGAGTGCCAGGAACCAAACTTAGGTCTTCTGGAAGAGCAGTATGTGTTCATAACTGCTCCAGCCCTGTTTTGTTTTTGAGGCAAGGTCTCTCTGTATATCCCTGGCTGGTCTAGAACTCACTATGTAGACCACGCTGGCCTTGAACACACAAGAGATTTGCTTGCCTGTGCCTCCAAAATATTGGGATTAAAGGTGTGTGCCATCATGCCCAACCTGTTTTTATTGTTTGTTTGGTTGTTTTTGAGACAGGCTCTCATGTTGCCCAGGCTAGGCATGAGGATGTTCCTTGTGTAGCTGAGGGTGATGTTAATGGTGCCACTATGCCCTGCTGCTGTAATGGCCCACTTCCAGACCTACTGCTCCTTGGAATGGGAAACCCTTCACAGCATGCCCAGAGCCAGGCATGCTTTTTTCTAAAAGTGATTGTTTCTTGTGTATGTTCCCAAGCAACTCAGTCAAGCAGGCCGAAGGACAGACTTACCACCTCTCGTTCTTCTCAGTTTTGATCATGGAATTGGAACTAAGTTGTGTGTGTGTGTGTGTGTGTGTGTGTGTGTGTGTGTGTATAAAAGCCAAAGATCAACTTCATTGTTGTTCTGGGAGTCATCTGCTTTGTTTATTGAGGCAGGGTTTCTGCTTGCTAGAGTTCGTTAACTAGGCTAAGCTGGCTGGCCAGTGGGCCCCTGGGGTCTGCATGTCTCCTTCCTTTCCAGCTCTTAGACTTCAAGTATGTGTCACCACACCCAGGTTGGTGGGTGGGTTTGATGTGGGTTTTGGGGTTCAGACTCCTGCTTGCCCTAGCCCTAAAAGAAGTTGATTTCTGAAATATAGACTTGAGTTCACGACACCCATTCTTGGAATGAGCTACTTGTTGATTTACTTGTTTGTTCAAAACAAAATTTGTTCAAAATTTTGATGTGTATGAGTATAAGCATTGTGGGGAAGAGAAAATAGTTTTATTTAACAAGCATTTTAAGTGTTTATCGTATGCAGAGTACTAAAGTGTTCAGTTCAGGGGGATAAGCTCTCTGGAGCTTACTGTCTCATTTTGGTGAACACTAAATACAATCTGGAAAAAGAGCATCAGAAAGATAAAAATGAGTATGAAGTGGAGAAGGAAATGGGTTTGCTCTTGGTAAGGGTGGGTAGCAAAGCCAGGGCCAGGGAAGGTCTCCAGGAGGAAGGAGCTTGAATGGGCGCTCAAGAATGGCAAGCATTTAAACCAGGTTCAGTGGTGCACTTCTGTAATCCTGGTGCTTGGGGTGTGGAGGCAGAAAGATCGACAATTCAGGGTTATTCTCAGCTACATAGAGTTCAAAACCACCCTGGACTACTATATGAGACCCTGTCTCGATAAAAATAAAAGCAGCCAAACAAAAACCAAAACCAAAATGCTAAATAGTGTTATAGAGAAAATCATCCATCCCAGGTAGTTTTGACAGTCTGGATCATGACACAGTCAAGAAAGTACAAGAAACGAAACGATCATTTCATATATCGGGAAGAATGATGAAGGTTAGATCCGTATTTCACTAGGTTTTGAATGTCAAGGTAAGAATTCATTAAATCAAAAGATACATCATCAAATCTCCAAGGCATCCATGTCCTTTTCTCTGAATATTAAGTCTCTCCATCTACTTTTTGGTGAGGGGATTTGTCTCCTTGGTTTATTGACAGGATGTGGGGTCTGGTTAATTTCACTAGACGCCATTGTCCTACTGGGAAGCTTTCTGGGTACTGAGTGCCATTTTCTGTAGCATCCGTAGTATAGGGAAGGGCTTTCACTAATGAATCACAAAGGCTGCAGCTTATGTTTCTTGCATTAGGGGCAAATCGTACACAAATTAAATTGGTCTTTGAAATTTTACCCAGTTTCTTAAGACAAGCATGTAAATATTTATGTCCCTAAAAGACGCAGTTGACCCAACATCCTTGATTGCAAGTAAGTTTAATAGCTGGATCTCCTTTCAGTAGCTAATCTAGTGTCACTTAGCAGTGGCCTGAGGCCTCACTGTGGCCAGTAATCTGGTTTCGATTGAGTGCCCTTTGGGTCTTGTCCTATCCGCTAACCCAGAGGAGGCCTTTCTGAGACTTGCTTCTTCCTCCATTGTCCCAGCTCTGCCTCCAAGGGCAGGGCTCTGAAATAGAAACTCCTTAATGACCAGAAAATGGCATTCAGGCAGGTCTGAGAGCAGAAACACTTATCACACCTCTTTCCTGCTTTTGCAGCCCTGCGTCTTGGGAACCAGTAATGTCTTTAGGGTGGTAATCCTAGCACTAAATGAGGTTAGACTCAGGAAAATAAACATTTAAACCCAATCAGTCCCCCTAGGAAATTTTCCTTTTTTCAAAAACAGAAGGCCTGAAGTGGGCAGTTAAAACTGTACCACATCTTATCTTTCCTGTTAATGCTGAATTAAGCCATTATAGGGGGAAAGGGAGAACTGAGCATTTGGACCTGAGATAAAGTTAAATTCAATTTCCATCATGGAATGTCATTCCTATAATTATAGGCGTTCCTTTGGGAAAATGATAGGAGAGACGTTTCTCACTAACTCTGTAGTGCTTGTGTGGAAAACAAAAACCCCTGCTTGATAGACCAGAGGATGTTCAAGTTGCAAAGTCTTCTCAGAGACAAGCCCTGCTACTGAATCTGAAAGACAGGCCACAGCCCACACAGAGCCACTTTCTAAATACCAAGGAAACCACAGTCGGTAAAGCTAATCTTAGGAGCAGGCACTGTGCCTTGTCTTTGTGTATCTTGGTGCCCAGCCCAGCCCTCCCTCACATGGGATGGGTATTAGTAACTGTTTCATGAGCAAGTAGATAGAACTGCTAACTCAGGAAGTTGTGAATCTGCTGGCTCTGCATGGCCCGAAAGAACATTGGTTTTCCCTTCCGGGTTAGGTAGAAATTGCTTGTGCTTGCATGGAGCCCATACTTCATGAGTAGCTTTTTCTTTTTCTGCTAATTAGGAAGGAGAAGTATCACAAAGTAATCAGATTTGGTTTTTGTTTGTTTAATATAATTCTAACAAGAGGAATATTGTTTTTTGTTTGTTTGTTTTTGTTGTTTTTTTTGGGGGGGGATTCGAGACAGGGTTTCTCTGTGTAGCTTTGCGACTTTCCTGGAACTCACTCTGTAGCCAAGATTGGCCTCGAACTCATAGAGATCCACCTGCCCCTGCCTCCTGAGGAATATTGTTTTCTAAGAGTTGTTTTTTTTTTTTTAATTTTTTTTTAATAGACTTAATTTGTTTCCAATGTGGATAATTCATGATTTTACTGTAGCCAAAAATACTTTTTCATTCAGGGAAAGGATGTTGGTATTCAGTGTGCTCTTTTGTTCATATTATCTGTCACTGAAATCTGTAACTTCCAGAACAAAAAAGGATTCCTTTAAAAGGCTCAACCATCTTAAAGATAGGTTGGCACTGATTCTTCTAGGTCAGTTTTTTGTGATAGAGCAGTTTATTACATTGACCACTAGTGAATGTTTCAAGACTTGAACTTAGACGGTACAGACTAAGGGAAACGCTCATCCAGTTATATACATGGGTAAAAAAAGCCTATGGAAGTCCAAAATAGGGCTTTAGCCACCCTGGGAGGTAGGACAGGCCTGTAAGCCCAGCTCCTTGGGGGATTGAATCGGAAGAATTGCAGGCTTAAGGTTAGCCTGTACAATTTCATGACACCCAGTCCTGAAATTTTAAAAGGGTGAGGGGCATAGCTCAGGAGTCAAACACCTGCCAGCATTGCCCAGAGGGCTTTGACCCAGCCTGTGGCAATATGCACACGCGCACGCACCGCAGAGCTTCATTGGCAGTTTCTTTGTATCATTTATTAACAGTAACATCCAAGAGATGAGAGCTCGGCACAAAGATGCTTTCCTGAAGAAACATAACCTCAAACTAGGCTTCATGTCAGCGTTTGTGAAGGCCTCAGCCTTTGCCTTGCAGGAGCAGCCTGTTGTAAATGCAGGTGAGTTTCTTAAGACCAGTGTGGCAGAGGTCTTTGGAGCTGGGTGTATGAATACAGACCTGCTGTCACATTTAGGGGTCACCAAGGCTTCTTATTTCACAATTGTGGAAACATGACCACCTTCCCTAAGTGAATTTGTTCCATTCACCTTCCTCGAGTGCTATCATGATTACTATCTCCCCACCAAGTGGGCAGAAAAGTGTCCTTACTGTGTGCATGGCAGTCACTCTGGCAGCAGGCAGCTCTAGGACAGCCCAGCTTTCCAGGCTGTCAGTCATCATGGGGACTCCCAAGTTCTGGCTGCTCCTCACCACCACCATGGGCCCTTTACTTGGACTTGACTTCACGTTAGGCATAGGCTCCAGGTTGGCGTTTGATCTCCAGTTCGGGGCCTCACTGGGGAGACTTGGTGCTCACTTTCTTTCCTTTTTACCCTCCTCATTGAAGTGCTGGTGTGGCTCACAGTGCTTTCTTTCCTATTGAGGCACTTCTGTGTTCCTTGGAAGGTAGCAAAGGGACAGGAACACTTTACAGTCCTTTACAGTAATCCCCAGCCTGTCCCCCATTGAGTGCTGTGCTGTAGATGAGGAGGAGGGTCTTTGCTTGTAGGCATCTCAGCGTTCTCATTTGACCTGCGTTCTAACAATGCAGTACAGACTCTTGGGAAGATTCCCAAGCCTTGATTTTCCTATAAGTGGTAGGTACAATTTTCAGCGGTTGGTTTGCTATTTCAAGATGGCGTGTTTAAAAGCCAGACCCCCTCCACTCCCACCTGGATCTCTAGAGAGAGGCTTTCCTAACCCTGCTGAGGAGGCAGGCTGGGCATCCTCCTCCACCCTCTTTTGCCTTTTTATAGAGCACTCAGTAACTAGTCATTCGCTCAGGAGGGCTTACATAGATAAGAAGTGAATGTGCATTTATTTACTGTGTGAACCTTTTGTGAGCTGTGAAAAAACAGGTGCCCCTACATGCAGGTTCATTCAGAGCTTGGGAAATACTGTCATAAATTGGGATGGAAGTAGAAGTAAGGAGAGAGTCAGTTGCTTGTAATGGTAGTTATTTTCTTGTTGATTAGTTAGCCCACACTGCATTAGCCACTGAAAATTTTCACTCTGTTAACTCAGTAGTTTTGGCCAAGAGGGTTATACGTAACATGTTTTCTCTTTCATAGTGATTGATGATGCAGCCAAAGAAGTGGTGTATAGAGATTATATTGACATCAGTGTTGCGGTTGCTACCCCAAGGGTATGTTGGGGCAAGGTTGGGAGTGCTTGCTTAGATCCCGTCTTAGTTATTTTTCCATTGCTGTGATAAGACGCCACGACCAAGGCAGCTTACAGAAGAAAGAGTTTATTGGGTGGGCTTCAGTTCCAGAGGGTTAGGAGTCCATTGCCATCATGACAGGAGTGTGGCAGCAGACATGATGTTGGAGCAGTAGCTTACAGAAAGCTGGCTAACTGGGAATGGCATGGCTTTTGAAATCTCAGAGCCTGCCTGTAGTGACACAACTCCAATAAGGGCACACCTCCTAACCTTCCTAAACAGTTCCACCAACTTCAGACCAAGTGTTCAAATATATGATCCCATGGGGGCCATTCTCACTCAAACCACCACAGATCTCATTTATTTATATTAAAAAGTAGATCATATGGAAGGGGTTATTTCTACAATTCTATATTTTTAGGGGGTCATTAGTAAAAGTAAGGTTTTTTGTTTTTTTGAAATCATACCACATTCCTTTATCTTTGTGTAAGTCTTTTTAGTTCCATTGAGTTTAGGGAGTTCTGGTTAGGGAGACGTGAGGATTAAATCAAGGAAATTATAACTATAAAGAGTACTGTTATTTTGTAACTGAAAACAACCTTCCACTCCAGGGTCTCGTGGTTCCTGTCATCAGAAATGTGGAAACTATGAATTATGCAGATATTGAACGGACCATCAGTGAACTAGGAGAGAAGGTACAGTAGACGGAGTGTGTGGATGAGCTGCTGGGCAGTTGAGGGGACACAGCCTTCAGAAGCCTCACATGCTCAGGTGACGGGCACCCCAGCAGCCAGGGTCTGCTGGGAAGAAATGTTGATTGCACAGTCACACTCTTCCCACAGTCACCTTAGCTGAATACCTGCCTTGTTTGCCGGCGTTTGTACTACCGATCTCAGATAAGAATTTTCTAGATTTACTTTTTTTTGGAGTGAAGAAATCTGGTTATCTTAATGATTCAATTATGAACTTGTTTTTAGGCCCGAAAGAACGAACTTGCCATTGAAGATATGGATGGTGGTACTTTCACCATTAGCAATGGAGGAGTTTTTGGATCACTTTTTGGAACACCCATTATCAACCCCCCTCAGTCTGCCATTCTGGGCATGCATGGCATCTTTGACAGGCCTGTGGCTGTGGGAGGCAAGGTAAGAACCATCATTTTTGTGATTTTTTTTTAATTGCTAAGTGGCTATAAGAGAGAAATTAACCAAATCCTTATTATAAAGCATGCACTATAATTTCAGGCTTAGCTTCCATTTCTTAATTACTAAATGATAGCTAAGTCACTTTCTCAAACTGTGATCTCAGATATCAACGTCATCTGGGAGCTTGTTAAAAAAGCAAGTGCTGGACTAGAGAGATGAGTCAGCAGTTAAGAGCATTTGCTGCGGGCTGGAGAAATGACTCACAGCCATCAGTAATGCCAGTTCTGAGGGATCAGGCACCCTCTTCTGTCCTCCTGAGGTACCAGCTGTGCACATGTGCACACAATGCATGTAGGCAAAATGCTCGTACACATTAATATAACTTTTTTTGAAAAAGCAAATTGAAAACAGTTTCCTTTTCGACCCCAGTTCACACCTACCGAAGCCGAAGTACAGACAGTTGTGATGTGTTAAAGTCTGAGAACCACTGAGCTAAAGAGGCTTGTACCCAGTCCTCTGGGACTTGCTGACATGCTTCATTGTCAGAGTGCCACAGGGAGTCAGGGGTGGATAGAGTGGGTGACATGTCCTTGACCCTGGGAAACAGGGTACAATACACTGCAATCTATGAGCTGTAGAATCGTATGAGAAGAGTATAAGATTTCTGGGAGTTCAAGGAATGAGGCCAAAGAGCTTGAATTAGCCATTGGAAGATAAGTTAGTTTAAAAAATAAGAAAAGATTTCTGAGACTGCTGTGTTTGGAACGTTTTTGTCTCACTGAGTCCTTTGTACATCCAAAAACCGTGCATCTTCTTTCTGGAGAACAATTCCACACCTAGATTTACACGTAACAGATTTATTTTTTTATTTATGGGTTTTCAAGACAGGGTTTCTCTGTGTAGCACTGTCTGTCCTGGAATTCTCCATGTAGACCAGGCTGGCCTTGAACTGAGAGATCTTGCCTGTACCTCCTGAGTGCTGGGATTGAATGTGTGTGCCACCACTCCTGGCAGATAGCAGGAAATTTGAACTCAAAAGATTCATTTTCCACTTTAGAATAGGGATATAAGCCAGTGGTAAAGGGTTTGTCTAGTGTATTCAGAGCCCCAAGTTTGATAAACAAGGCATGGTAGTACATGCTTGTCGTTACAGCATTTGGGAGGTAGAGGCCAGGGGATCAGGAATGTGGTATCGTCCATGGTTGTACAGTGAGTTTGAGACCAGACGCGAAAACAAACAACATACATTTTTCTCTTTAAATTCTAACTTCAAGGCTGGAGGTGTTACTCAGTAGAAGGGTGCTTGCCTAGGTGTTGGATCCACAACATCGGAAAAAAATAATAGTGATAAAGATTGTAACTGCAGCCTGGCAGTGGTGGCACATGCGTTTAAATCCCAGCACTCAGGAGGCAGAGGCAGGCAGATCTCTGAGTTCAAGGCCAGCCTGGTCTGTAGAACCAGTTCCAGGACAGCCAGGGGGATACACAGAGAAACCTGTCTGAAAAAACAACAACAACAAAAGATTATAACTTCAGAGTAGCTCCTACAGGCAGCCACAACCCAAGAGAAAATCTTTCTTTGGGTAACAGATTTGCGGGTAGAGTGTGGTGTTGCTTATTCATTTTAAGGCTGTTTGAGGAGCTGTTTCCTTGTTTAAACCTTGCTTCTGAGTCCCAGAGTTCGCACTAAAGGTAAGCTTGGCCTTCATAATAAAGCCAAGTTACCCAGAGGCAGCAGCACAGTAGGAAAAACTTGGAACTGCAAATGCTGGTATGGGCTGTGCTTTCTCACCCCTTCCCTCAGCGGAGCTTCTCTGCTGCAGAGTACAGACCTGTTGCCTCTTCTCTCTGCAGGTGGAAGTGCGACCTATGATGTATGTAGCCCTGACCTATGACCACCGGCTGATTGATGGCAGAGAGGCTGTGACTTTCCTCCGGAAAATCAAGGCAGCAGTAGAGGATCCAAGAGTCCTCCTCCTAGACCTTTAGGAGGAAGCCACACCCCCTACCTATTGATCATGCAGGAACTGAAAACCAGTCTTCTCCCTGTCCCCTCATCAGTCCCAGGTTAGCCTGATGACAGGCAGGCACCATACTGTTGGCCTCAAGCAAGGAAGCCAGGGCACTATGTAACCAGCTTTCACAGGTCTTTTCTTAGTGTTCCTTCCAGACTCTTCCTCTCTCTCTCTGCGTCCCTCTCTTGCCTTCTGATATCTTGGGCCTGAGAGAGGGAGAGAGGGAGAGTCTTAATGGATGCTCATTAATATTCCTGCCTTTCTTCCAGCCCTCTGCAAAGACAGTTTCGCTTCTCCCCGGTAACAGTATACTACAGGGATACCACCAGGGACCATGTGATTGAGTTTCTATCTTTGGAAAGTGTTCTCCAGTGATGCCTGGGGGTGCTCTGCCTCCCAGGCTCGAAGCCTCTGTCCCGGCTGTGCACATTCCCATGGGATGCCACCTGTGTGGAGGTGTTGGACCCAGGCCAAGAGGCGCTGCTTGGCTTCTTAACTCACCACCGTTCTGAGCTGTCTGTCAGTGGCTTCATGGTGCCTCTCTACCTCTTCCGGGAAGCACAGGCCAGGGGACTCGGGGATAGGCAGGATGGTGCAGAGTCCCCTGAGGTTTCCTGTTATAATCACAGATGGGAGTAGAACCCTGGCTTGCCCTCACAGACTCCATTGTAAGCTCACTGGGAAGATTGATTTTGACATAATCCTATACAACTGTGGTCATACCAACCCTTCCCAGGGTTCTAGGAATCTATCTAGGACATGGTTCTCATTTAGACCAGATTTTAGCACATCATGGCAGTCGGACAGAGCCTGGTGAAGGGACTGACTCTGACCAGATCAGGTTGTCTAGAGCTCTTAAATTCAAGATGGTATCAGCATGTGATGGGAAGGGGCTGTTCTGTCCCTTTCTGGGTGTGACCTGTGGGAAGCAAGCAAGGCCTTGGTACCTCTGGCTGGACACAGATACAGGGGGAGGATGGACTGGTGGGAACCAGCCTCAGGAGTTAGTGCATAGTGATGAAATGGAGGATGTCATCTCTAAGGCACTGCCCTTTGAGTCCAGGCACAATCATTGGGATTTCTTGACGCATGGTAAAATGCAAGTAACTAGGTGTGAAAGCTCCTAGGCTTTGTATCCAGCTGCACTGAGGCCTGAGACTGCTGGCATTTCATGGGGCCATTAGTGCTAACTGTAATCCAGGACAAGCTGGGGGGAGGGAAAGGCCAGTACTGAGTGCCTGCAGCATCTGCTACTCCATCTTCACCATTCAGAACTTGTAACTAAGGTATTTAAAGAGACTGATTTTGAATGAAAATTAAAGGGCAAATGTTCTCAAACAGGGTTCCAGCATCTGTGCTCCTTTGACCAGGTTGTACAGCCCCCAGTTGGCCACCACGATGTCTGTAGTTGAAAGCTCCTTCATCTGGAGTTGGCTATCCTGGGTGTCCTGAGGCCCCATCCCAGACTTCAGACATGCTAGTGCTATGATAATTCAACTGCCAGCAGGGGACCCACTAATCTCTCAGTGCCTGGGTTCCCTTCAGGGAGCCCTAGGCTTCTGACAAGCCAACTCCCACCTATGTGAAACCCTTTAAAAACACCAGGGACAGTTGCCCTTTGGAGGGGCTTGCATTATTTCTGAGATAGAGTGGAGAGACATGAACACTTCTAATTTCATTTGGATTTAGTTGCCACACGTGTACCGAGATGTTTGTGGTAGAATGACCAGTGAGAGGTCACCTCCTAAGAGCAGTAATATGTGCGGGACAATGGTCAGGACAGGGTTGGTCACTAACTTAGAATGACTACAGGGATAATGGGCATGATGGAGTGCAGGCCTCAACGCAGCCTTACTTTTCCATACAGAATCTCACCTGTTCCCACCTGCAATGAGACCTGAGGAAGCCTGTTACAGGAAGAAGTGGGGTCCTTAAGCAATTGAGCTGGTAGATGGGTTCAATGAACCATGTATCAGGTGTAGAGCTTAATGTGCTACAGAGTTAATGTTTCCAGTCAACTTCTGGAGTAGCTGTTCTGTTTTACTGAAAAGCCATACATAAGCCCTGTCAGAACTGGGACCTTGGTGTTCCAAATTGATGGCTCAGCAGAGGGCCATAGGCACAGTGGGTTGGCTGGGTTAGCCCAGAAGTGGCTCGTGCTTCATAGAGCAGTGGCAGAAGCAGTCTAGCATTTGGTCTACCACAGAAGGAACCCACACTTGTGAGCCAGCTCCAGCAGTTGGTTCTAAGTTAACCTCTATCCAGAACCTCCGTTTTCTTAGGAGAATCTTCCATGGGCTCACTGGAGGTTAAGGTAGTGTTTCCTCGGGCACCGTGATCTTCTAAGGTCTCTTCCCTCCTCCCTTTCCCAGGCCTGGTCTGTAGGGGCAGGAGCTGCTTCCTTGCAGGCCACTTCACTGAACTAATGATGCACAGACACCACAGAAAGGATAGACTTTGTTAGCAAGTGGACAGACCCCACGGGCTGCTAGGATTCTGGCCACGGAGCATTGAGCTTTCCTTGTCCTCTGCTCCAGACTCGGAAACAGGAATCTGTGTCATTGTGTAGCCCCCCCCCCCCCCCACACACACGAGTGTTTGGTGAGTTCCCCGATTGGTGAACTATGCCAGATGCCACCTGTGGTCGATCAAGTGAAGTTTTGTTGCATGTGCCACACCCCAGCGACTGGGTTGTCTTGAGGCAAGCCCTCACACCTAGGGAAGGGGATGTGGTCTGGAGATAGCAACTTACCCAGTTCTTCAGAGACCAGAAATACCTGGCCAGAAGCATTGGGTCTCATTTTAAAAGTCAGAGTGGGCAGTGAATTGAACAGAGCTTCATACCAAAATGCAGAATGGAAAAGAACACCTGAGAAAGACTCTTCTGTTGGTCCTGTGGGGCAGACTCTTCTGACACAGGAGAGCCAGCCAGAGAATAAAGCTCTTTATTCTGTTTTCAAATGCAGTCTACGTGGTGAAGCCGCGTATTCTTACCCCACTCTTAACCCTGTTGGTTTCTCTTAATTTATTCTTCAAAGTCGGTGGGCCAGACTTCCCCCACCTCTCCCCATTTTACCCTACAGAATAACCTACTTCCGAGTGCCCCAACCCCTGTGGAACAAGCATCCTCTGGTAGAAGCAGCTCACTGGGATGGACCCAGAAGAGTCTTGGTTTGGGTCTCCTGAGCCACAGGTTCAGTGTCCTGAGATGTCCTGAGTGGTGTACAACATGGCAGTGCCACCAGATTCTCACTTGGCTCAGCGGGTGTTGAGCAGTTTGGAGCTAGAGCAACAGAAGGCACCCTTTAACGTGATGGGTCCCCGCTAAGGGTACAAGGAGTCTGTCCACTGTTGAGCATAGGTTGCTCAGCCGGCTGCACCTCACTGCCCCTCCAACAGCTGCTGCAGGGGCCGGCTTTTTTTTAGGACAGGCCCTCCTCTGAGGCCCAAGCAGGAAACCACCTTCGTCCCCTGAGGTCCACTGATGAGGGGCCAGCCCAGATGGCAGACAGTCGGGAACCAGGCCAGCTGCTTTGTCCACTTACCCACCCCTCACCCCGTTAGTCGGCTCCACTGGATACTACTGAAAAAGGGGTGGGACTTGAGTTGGCTGGTGCCGCCACCTCCAGCCCCTAGACGCCGCTGGGGATCGAACTGCAACAGCTATGGGGGAAGGAAGACTCAGTCAGCGCTCTGCATCCCTCCCCCATCAGGGAGGTAGGTGCCCACCTCCCGGGACTCCTATCGTCAAAGCCTTAGGCTGCTCGTTCCCTGCTAACCCAGTCAATAACCCCCTCCCCGTGACATTGGCGGAAGCTAGCACCGGCGGCGGCGTTCTGGGCATTTATTGCCCTAGTCCTTTACAGCACTTAGGTATTGGACAGGTGGTTCCCCCAGCCCCCACCCACGTACCAGTAAGCCATCTCTAGGCCAGCCAGTACCTCACCTCGGTCAGCAGAGAAGCTGCTGGGCGACTGAGCCACTTGGGCAGCTGAAGTTGGGTGTGGGCCTGGAATCCTGAGGGGTGGCTCTGGGACAGTGCCTGGAGAGGAGGGGGAGACGAGGAGAAGCACTGAGGAGGCCACTTTGGGGAAGCTGACACCCTAGCGCCACCCCCATGACACATTCCAGGAGAAAGATGATGTTTAGTTGCCTTTTGCGAGGATCTACTAATGACCCAGACACGGAGCGCCAGCTCAGGAAAGGGGACTTGGGTTAACATCGGGGTTTGAACCTGCAGCTTGTTGGAAGCATTATCTCCATTGTCTTTAGAGTGGACACTATTGGGAACAGCACTAGAACTTCCTTCCTTACAGATAAAAAGGCCCCACAAGCCACATGGCATGCGGCCATTGAGGCCAAGGCAGGAATGTGGAGAGGAGCGGAAGGATGTTGTAAGGATGAGCTGCAAGAGGACAGGAGAGCCCAGTGGGGCTTAGGGCTATTTGTGTAAAGGGTTCTCGGAGGCTCTGAGCCACTGGGAACCAAAGCAGGTCAGGTCTGGCCTTTTTGGTCACACCGTAATTTGCCGGTGCCACTCAACTGTTTCCTGCTCAGCTGTAGTTTGTCCAATCCCCTGTCCCCAACCTAACTGGCCCCAGATATAGTTCTGGGCTCTTCTGAGAGGAGTAGAGAGGGCGAAGCCTTATCAAGTGGGTTTTCTGTGTATGCGTGGGCATGCGAAGGCCAGAGGTTGAAGCTGGGTGTCTTTCCTCTCCTGCACTCCACCTTTTTTTTTTTTTGAGACTGGGACTCACTGAACTCGATATTGATGGACCAGCAGCCCTGGGGATCTGCTGGTCTCACCCCAGGCCCTGTATTAGGGTAACAGATGTGCGTCATCCCACTAGACTTCCACAGGGTTGCTGAGGCTCGAACTCAAGTCTTCCTGCTTGAGCCGCGGGCAGTTTATCCGGCCGCCGAGCCACTTCCCCAGCCTGCAAGTGGGCTTGGCTGACCGGGCTGGTTAAAGCAGCTCCTGGCTCGGATGCAAGAGCCTCCTCCCACCTTCCAGCTGAGGTCTAGGGATTACAGCCTTGAAGGGTGTGTGGGAGTGAACAATAGGAAGAGACTGGACATAATCCAGAAGCCTTCCAAACCTCAGGCCAGGCATGCTCGTCCATAAACCTCTGGCTATCCCAGCTCGTATAATTCACATCCTTAGCAATAGTCCCTTGTGTGGTAGGAGTGCTAAAGTCTTTGATGGCCTGGTGGGAGTGACTTCCTCTATTGCTAGTGGTCTTGTGGGTGGAGGGACATCCAGCCCAAAGGTCAGGCGTGGAGAACCAGGCTGCCTCTGTTTTGACTCTAGCTGGTTAAGCCTCTGCTCAGCCTATAATCCATGACCCCCGCCCCCACCACCAGGGCTCTATACCCCGCCCAGCTACTCACCGTTCCTGTGAGCAGTTCATACAGAAGTGACCCATAACTCCACCAGTCACAGGCTTCAGTCAGCTCAGAAATGCCCCCGACCTCTGTGAGAATAAGAACACACGTTCTTTCTGTTGGCATTCTAGTACCCCCTGCCCTTCCTCTGTCCTTAACCCATACAAAAGCACCCAAGATCTAGGAATCTCCCCCCACTCCCGTCTTGCCTGGAGCACTGTACAGACGGTCCACAGCCTCCTGGCTGCACTGGGGCTCCACTTCTGACCACTGGCCAAAATATGTAAGTCGGATGTGACCTTGTCCAGTGTGTGTAGGGAGGAATGGTGGGACAAAGGTTGGAAGTAGCATCATTGAGCAGCCAACATCTCTAAGCAATCCCAAGGCTTCCCCCAATACAATCATGTGAGGAGGGGCTGAAGGTCATCCCGAGTGGAGTCTCTCTAAGGGCCCCTTGTTGCCTAGGACTTAGGGGAGTTCCTGGAGCGATAGTCCCAGACTTAGGTCCTCTGTGCGGGGCCAGATGGAAGAAAGGGAGTGGGGAGAAACAGCATGTAGCCTTACGATCTCGGGGGTCCTGTTGACTCTGGGCTCCCACCTGAGGAGTAGGGTTGGAGCAGAGAGGCTGGGGCTCCTACCTGCCTGGTCCAGAAGCAGGTTCTGTGGGTTGAGGTCCCGGCACAGCACCCCCTGCTCATGGAGGGCCTCCAGTGCCACCAGCATCTCCGCGGCCCACTGCTTCACCTGTTCCTCCCTCGGGCTCCAGACAGCTCTTCCACATCCCAGGCTGGCCCTGTTTGCTGATGGCGGCTTCTGACCTCTGCCTCGGCCATAGGCCCCTAGCACCCGGTCAGCCCCCTCCCGTACCCAGTGGAGCCTCCGGTTGGGTGCAGGGTTCGAACTCTGGCCGGCTCGCCTGATTTGACTGCGCAAGTGGCCCCATGGGGCTTCCGTGAGG